TGCGAATTCCCCAAATGTGGGAATCTCGACTGCATAATTTATGGTAGTGGGGGACTGCGTTCGCGCTCTCCCCTGAAAGTATTCTTTGGGGGGGCAGTCGTGGCCTAATGGATTGAGAATCGGACATGTAACCCGAAGGTTGCAGGTTCGCATCTCAGGTCCGGCAGGAATTGTCGGTGGGTGGAGTGAATAACCAGCACTCTCTTCCACCCTCAATACCCAAGACCCTTGAGCAAAGCACCAAACCCCCAACTGCTCCCCGGGCGCCGCAGCAATATGGCTGCACACTGCTCAAGGTGTGTATTCACTACTGTGTGTGTGCACTTGGATGGGTTAAATGCAGAGCACAAATTCCAAGTATGGGTCACCATACTTGGCCACACGTCACTTCACTTTCACTTTCATAAATAAAGATGACTTGACATGTTGCATGTAAGTTAGGGGTCGGTAAGATTTTTGTAATATTTTGAAAGATGTCTCTTATGCTGAACAAAGCTGCATTTATTTGGCCAAAAATACAGTAAAAACTGTAATATTGTGAAATATTATTCTAATTTCAAAGAATTGTTTTATGTTTTAATGTATATTAAGATGTAATTTATTCCTGTGTTGGCAAAGCTGAATTTTCAGCAGTCATCATTTCAGTCTTCTGTGTCACATGATCCTTCAGAATCAGAAATCATTCTAATATGCAGATTTTGGTGCTCAAGACGTATTACTTAATCATGTTTGTTTGTTAGAATTCTTGATAAGTAAAAAAATTTGCAGCATTTATTAAAATTTTTTTGTAACAATCCATCTTTGCTGAATAAAATCTACATTTCTTTAAAGAAATCCTACAGTTTTCAAAGGTAGTGTGTAGGCCTATTGATAGAAATAATTACCATGAGTTTTTTTAATGTCATGTTTTTTTTTTTCTTTTAATAGCACTCATCAAGAGGTTGAATTTGTAAATTCGATCAATCAGGGGTTTTCAAACTGTTTTCTAGGGGGTTTATGGAAAATTTTCGAAAAAAAAAAACAAAAAATCATAAATTAAAAAATATTGAAGCATAATCTGGAATATAAGCAGGGGTGCACATAAGTTTTTCAGCGTGGTTCTCATAAGAGAACATGGAGATTTGGTTTGGTCCTCACACTGCACAGTGTGACCGATTAAATATAACTATAAAAAATAAATTAATAATAATGATAATATTATTGCACTTTATTTTGTTAGTTTTTTTTAAAATAAAATAATAAACAAAATAATAAAGTGTGATAATACTATTATATTTTAAAATAAAAAAGTGAGTATTAAATACAGATACAGTTATTTTATAATAAACCTAAAAATAAAATGCTAATATTTACTTCTTCTTTTTTTATGAATTTTCTTAATTTTCAACCTTAAAATCAGCAACCTTAAAATATTTTGGCGGGTTGTCGGAAAGTTAGTATATGCGCTTCTGGGTTTAGCGCTGCCGATTGAAGAGCGTTGTCAGACTCTGGGCCAGGTTTTGTGTGTGTCTTTGCTCCCTATGTGCTCCGTCATCCAGTTTCTCTGTCTCGTGTTTTGAATTCATTGTTCCCAGGTGTTTCCAATGTTAATTGTCATTAGTTCCAGGTGTCCCTTGTCTTCCCCTCATCAGTTCCTGTGTATTTAAAGTGTGTTCTAATTCTTGCTCTTTGTCAGTCGTTGAACGTCATCCTGTCATCCTGATGTGTCGAGTCCTGTGATCCCCAGCCTTTGTTAATAAAACCCTTTTGATTTATTCTACTCCGTGTCTCCTCGCTCCTTCGTCCCCGTGTTCCTCGTTTGTGTGAACCGTGACAGAACGACTGACCACAACAGTAAGCGACGCTCCTTCTCTCGTGTTTTGTTTTCGTTTTTGAACAGTCTTTTGGTTTTCCTTTTTCTCCCCTGTTTGTCTCCACGGTGGAATCAAATCAAAACTGAATCATACACTGATCATATTGAATGCTCAGGTAAGATGGGGATTTAAATTTGGGACAGCCATCTGTGTGTTGTTTGCTTGCTTTTGTTGCTTTCATTTTTCTTCTCATTCTATCCGACATCGGTTCAACATGCTCAATCTGCTACAACGTCATAGAGGTGTGACTAGAGTCAGTGGTGTGGAACATACCACGAAACTGAGGCCATGTCCACACGTACACAGGTATTTTTATAAACGGAGTTTTTCCTTCTTCCGTTTAAAAAAAAATCTACGTCCACATGAAAACGCAAACGCATGCTATGAAGCACTGTCAAGAGCATGCCAAACCAACAGGTGGCGATATAATCTCAACCGTAAAGCCATGTTGGCCAATCAGAAGCCTGAAAAAGTTTCCAGTAGGCGTGGATAACAGTGCAGGCTCCGACATCACAAGCCAAAGCTGTCTTCACGATAACACTGCAACCGGAGTTTTTGAAAATCTTCACCCTGGCAGGCGTTTTCAAAAATGTTCCGTTTCAGGGACCTGGTGCTGCGTTTGCGTGTGGACAAACGGCCAAACCGTGTAGAAAAAGCTGCGGTTTTAAAAATAACCACATTCGTGTGGACAAGGCCTGAGCTTGACAGACATTCAGCGATGGCCCAAGTTTGGCCAATGCTGATCATCAGCATGGTGTGCCAACTAATTCACGGCCGAGTAGTTCACCTTCAAAAATGCATCATAAGGTGTCTTTTGTTACAGACAAGTTAAAGCTGCTCTGTGCCTGCTCAAAATTCTATGTGAAGATGCAATGCCACATTAAAAGCCAGACTAAATTATGCCTGCTTTGACCCACCTCACCCCCTAATATCAAAGTATTGTATAAAGGTGCAAATGCTGTGTAAATTTATTTATGCCACCACTAAGCAGCATTAATCAGTCTATGAAATGACGCTTAATCCCTGGAATACACTACACGTTTGCCGGCATTGTAGTCTACTCTACCAGGATCAGGAAACAGTCCTCCATAAAATGCGCTGGACACATCTGAATATTTGGGTTGAACTGTTCTGGAACAGTGTTGTAAATACAACTTAACCTCTGATTTCTATTCGTGTCCTCTTTTGGAAGGCCAAACAAAGTATTTTTGCTTTCGCAACGAAACACAGCGTCTCTACGACATGGCGGCGACGGTGTTAAAGTTACATACAATAAACAATAAAGTTACGCCTTCTTTCTTTGCGTGAACATTTGGGCGGCGTTATGTAAATCTTCCCACATCGTGACATAGATATGTGGGTGCGTGTTTGAACGAAGCATTTTAGGAGGGCATGGACGAGTCTTAACTTCTATAAAGAATATCTCTTTGGGTTTGAGACTTTAGTCTTTGCAACTTTAGAGATCTTCAAAAGAGGGAACTCCAAAGAGAAAGGAAAACTTGAAATCGCATCATATGACCCCTTTAAAAATAACCGCGTTTGTGTGGACAGGGCCTTTAAAAAACAATGGACGTAGTGTCCGTGACGTCACTCGTAGGTTTCTGAAGAGCGTTTTTGAAGCTCTAAGTGGGCGAAGCCGGCCTGTCGCCATCTTGGCAGTGCGTCACCGCGCGTCACTCCCGGATAATCAAAAATGGGCAAAGAGGCGGTTGCAGTTTTATTCACTTCCGTGTGAATAAAAGAGCGGGAGGTTGCCGCTTGATGAAATTTCACAGTTTTGCATTGTGCTTTGAAAACGGCAGTGGGTAGCCTAGATTTGTGCTTTCAATTTGAATAGAAATCTTATACAGTACAGTTTGTCGATCTAAATGGTAATTGTGCATTAACAGCTGTCATCCATGTCGGTACACAAACGCGCTGTCAGAACTTATTTATACAGCGCATTTTTTATTTTGGTCACGTATGCGGACCTGCGGACCACTTATGTGCACCCCTGATTATAAGATTAATTGTGATTTATTTTGTTCTGTTGATAGCTATCGATTTAACAGTTCTGCAAAAATTATTCAATATTTAAAGTGTTTTGTTTAATATCACTCTTTTTCCTCACACAGTAAAATTGGATCATGAATGTTGGTCCATCACATCATATTAGGTGGTCCTTCACATCAAAAAGTTTGAAAACTCTGTGAATAGACAAATAATTTGTTCTATATCAAAATAAAGTGACATTGACATAGTAAGTGATAATTGTAGTTACGCATTCGGTGACTGTCTGACTGCTTGTAAGGGAATCACTGAGACTGATGTTAATACCAAGTATAAACAGGGCCATAGTCTCTGTTTTCAAAAGAAATTAGCATCTAAACAGTGGGATCTTATCTAAATTGTTAATAAATAGGCTTGGCCTTATTTGAGGTTGTCGGCCTGATTATTGGAAGTGAAAATTACAGACAGTGATCATTTAAAGACTAAACTTATTCATCTCTGATAATAAACAACAAAGAGAGTTTTATAATTTGTATGCTGTGCCTCTAACTAAAAGCTTGTCATTACATGGGAGTTCTCACACTGTGGCTTTGGGACCCTCTAAGTAAGTAAGTTAAGAGTCAGATTTTGCTCACACCAAAGGTGTGAAGATTAAACGACTCCGAATCATGATTATGGATGCAGCGTTTTCTTCACAACTTGGAGACCACCCTAAATAAGAGCAATCGCTCAGTCTAAAAATGTGCGTTTTCTATGTTCTCACCTTCTCTGTAGTGAAGACACCTTATTTACAGTATATTGCATGGAAATTAGTTATATTGCGCAGTAGCCTTTTTTTATATTTCTGTTTTGATCATAAATCAAAATGGAGGATCTGACATTTAAGACACTTTGGGCTGTGTCCCAAATTTGTGGTAATGCTATTGACTAATCCATAGCAAACCTAAAAAAACACACACAAATGTTAGCTGCATACCTTTTTCAGACCACATCATTTAGATAACTTGTAGATGGAGTAAACAATTTGTTATTCATCCTATATCACAAGTTATGTTAACATCACCATATGGAAAAAGTTAATTGCTTTGCGATATACCTCGATATGGTTGTTAAT